CCACCTTTTTCTTCAAACGAAACGAATCCTTTATTCCCTTCCCTTTCTCGTTACGGGAAAACAATTTACCTTGGGGAGGGACGGTGGCGAAGCTCGGTTGCGGGATTACTCGGTTGACGGATCGTTTAGCTGTTTGAATTACCACCGACAAATATTTGCCAAGTTTTATAGAATTCATTATTCGAGGCGAGAGGGAGAGCGGTTGGGGGAGAGCCGAGGAGGGGTGGAACGGGGTTTAATTGTGTAAAACCGGGCGAATTACCGGGGAATAAGTCGTGGCGGGACGCGGATAATTAAAACTACGCCCCGAATCGAGGCTATACGAGGAATACGATTATAAATTTTCGGCAATTCTAATTCACCGACTCCTTCATTTCTCCGCTATTAACATATTCCGTGGTTCGTCGTAATCGTTTTGTCCCGTTGGGGGAGGGGGAGGAAATTACGGGCGCGTACGTTCGAAAAATTCAGCACCGTTTCAACGTTCCTACGCTCGCGTTAAGCTGTTGTTGCCACCCCCTTTTCGCAACCCCCTTTTCCTCACCTTGCAAAACAACAATTTCAATTTCGGTCGCCGCACGCGCGTGTGTGCAAAAACCGTGCACGCTTAATTTCGCCTGGATGTCGCGCGCTATTTCCACCTCCACCTCCACCTCCACCTCGGCGGTGAAATCGCGCATCCGATGCACGTAACGCGCACTCCATCAGCGTGCCTCTGTGGCTAAGTCCGCGTTGGCTAGCCACCCTCCAGAGGGGGCAAAAAGGGACGCGACACGGGTGAGACAGGTGATTATCGCGTTCACGGTCGAAACAATTCTGATTGCAATTTATTCCCGCGTTAAATAAACGAGAAGGAGATTAAGAGAAGAATTTATATTCACGGTATATATGTATACGTTTGAAAGATGCGAACAACGGTCGGATCGTTATCGTATCGAGAGTTTCGTAGGAACAAAGAGAATTTTGTAGGAAGAATGGAACACGGTTGATAGAGAGAGAGAAGCGTAGTCGCTTAGAGAGCGTTTCCAGTCGAAGAGCCCGTATTGTTCTCCGGTTGTTCTTCCGTAGGATGTAGGAATTTATCCTTGGCAAAATTCTCCTTGGCAAAACGTTAAACGTTTACGGTGTACGCCATCGTAATTAGTGTATGCAAGATTAATTAATCGCGAAAGACAGGGGGAGGAGTATCTCGCGGGAGGCGAAGATTCCCCGCCCCGACAAACGCGTGGCGGCCACCAGAGATAACAGGCCAATTAAACATTAACGGCGCAACTCGAACGAAATATGCGCGCCCGTCTCGTTGTTTAATTCGATTGAAAGTTGTGGGGAAACACGCGTGTACCCCCACGTACGTACGTGGAACTAGCGCGAAGACAGACTTAACGCGTTTAAGCCAAATTAGATAAAGCGGATGGATTCGCGAGGGAAGTTCGCAAATGCGACAGCGAAACTAGGCTGGAACTGTGCGTGCGGGGAGGAGGAAGTGGAGGAGAAGGAATAAGAATGCTCGGTGGATCGTGGCACGCGAAACGTCGAGGGAAAAAGGATTAAAAGGCGAGGAGACGGAAGTGGAAATGGAGAAAAGGGATGGAGGAAGTGGGAGGGATGGAAAGGGTTTTCTTTAACCCGATAAAACGTGATCCTCGCTTTATCAAGTTAACGTAATCCACTTATTTTCAACCGGGAACGAGGTGGGCCGTGAAGAGGGTCGTGGATGAAGAACGGTGGTGGAATAGCGAGTGTGGGAGGCGAGATTATGCAGGTGTGAGACCCGCGGCGGGAAATACTGCCTTTTAAATTAATTTCAACGGACGTTCGTCGTCGTCGTCGTCGTCGTC